CTGTTAGGTGTAATGCCTGGGCTACTGATGCTTTTTTCAGATGTTGCAAAGGTCTGCTTCATGTCCGACTGGCAGACTCTAGAGAGGTGGCACATTGTACGGTCCAGGAGTTAAGTGATCCTAACTGCAAAACATCTCAGTCTAGGACACGCCATCACCACGAGCATACTCTCCAGAAAACGAACATCATTAAAGACCCAGACAGATACCAAGAACACTTCCTTTTTTTTGGAACCAAATTCCAGAAACAAGTGGTCCACATGTTCCTTGCATCATGTAGCTATTGTTACTAATGCTGCTAAGTGCCACTCTCACATTGTACTCTTGTCACTAATTTTTTGTGTCATTCCCTGGGTGGATTTTCCTTATTTCGACTGTAGACCAGAATTGCAGTTTCTTTTTTACTCTGCTTGAAGACTGTTTGAGGCTGAATTGGGTCGTGTGAGTGCTCAATAAGCGGTCGCTGGGCCGGTCACACTACAGAGCCACAGACCTACAAATCCCCCTCACATTCGCCGTTTTTGTCACGACTCTGTTTACTACAAGAGATTTGTCTTGGGCAGCTGAAAAAACATCTGGCTTCAGAAGTGGTCTCATGTTCTTCTTTTGCTAAGTTTAAAAAAATTTTTTTGCACAAATAGACTGTGATTTACATATAAAGGTACTTAGAAAATGCAAACGAAAGGAACTCTTGCCTTCCCTTTGTGCCATTTCATCTATGGTTTACTAATAAAGTTAATGTTCACACGATGACGCCTCCAGTTCTCTCAAACACATTTCCTCTCATTTTGTCTCATGTTGCATTTTAATTCTTTCATTCAACACAATTAGTCTGTCGCGTTTTGTCAGTTTCACTTTTTTCTCTTCTAAACCAAAAGTTCCAAGTAAACCAAAAACCAAGGTATGTCCACATTTTATTTGTATAAACTGTTACATAATACAATAGATTAGGATCACATGATGTGAATTTATCTGAAACTTCAGTTTAATGTCATGTTTTTTTGCAAAAAATTGTAATATTACATTTCTGCCCTTGAAGTTCTGACCATGGAAACCTGGATCAAGACTTCGAGTTAAAAAGCTGGCATTTACTCTTTTCAAAATCCCTCTCCTTTTTCTGCTTCCTCTACATCTTTGTGTGCTCTCTTGATATTTTAAGTTCTGCCTTCCAACTAGCTGGAGGTAAGGTCAATCAGTTCAATAAATCATTTAAAGTTTGCTTTTTATTTGTTTAAAGGTAACTTTCTCTTTTCTGTGTCCTTCTAGGAAGGGTAGCTGGGAATATCTTCCAGGAAAATGCTATCCTGTCTAACCCAGTGCCGGGCTGGTGGTTGGAATATTGGTGACGGTGTTGGTCCAGAGTTCATCTACCTCTACCTCATTGTGGTCAGCCTTGTGTCTGCTAGTTGTGAGTTTACCACAATAATGCAGCAATATATTATACCTAACAAGATCTTTAAATTAACTCTTTCTCTCTGGTTATCTTTATAGTGCTGGACGTGAGATCAGCCATTCCCATCATCATGGGCTCCAATATCGGAACATCGTTCACAAATACCATTGTTGCTCTAATGCAAGCTGGGGAAAGAGAGGAGTTTGAACGGTACAGCAATGTGTTGTTGTGTTGTGTATGTTATTCATGGTGAGAAAAATAATCTGTAATTTTGTTTATTCCAGGGCATTTGCTGGAGCAACGGTTCATGACTGCTTTAACTGGTTGTCTGTAATGGCGCTTCTACCTCTGGAGGCTGTCAGCGGGCTGCTGAGGCATCTGTCTCAGGTTGCAGTCAACACACTGCAGCTCAGAAATGGAAGAAAATGCTCCTGAACTTCTTAAAGTTCTCACCGAGCCACTGACTAAAGTGATAATTCAGGTATGTTATATTGCTTTCAGCAAGGGTAAAAGTAGGCATGGAGACACTTTTCTATTATTTTTGCTGCTTCAATGGAAGAAATTCTTCATGGACATAAAAGGAAATTTCTCAGAAAGAGAAAGACAAACAAAGTACATTATAAACATCACCTATTAAGTAGGATTTGCATGTTTTCTAGATCAGAAGTTTACTTTTTAAACTGATTTTATGCAATCATTTAACTGCAGTTCAACAGCAGCCTGCAGCAGAAAAGGTCCCCAAGTGCAACCATATTTAAAATAAAGAATAAAGAAGTACATGTGATGCTGTGGAGTTCAAACAAAAAAACAAATGATAAATAGGAAATGATAATGATAAATGACCCGCACTTTGTATAGCGCATTCTCAGAGTAAGGACTCCAAAGCGCTTTACACATACAGTGTATCATTCATCCATTTACACACACATTCACACACTGATGGTGATGAGCTATGATGTAGCCACAGCCTGCCCTTGGGGAACAATGACAGAGGTGAGGCGAGGCCACCGAGCACAGGCGCCACCTGTCCCTCCGACCACCACCAGCAGGCAAGGTGGGTTAAGTGTCTTGCCCAAGGGACACAGACAGGAGAATTCTCTGTCCGAAGCCGGGATCGAACCTGCAACCTTCCGATTACTTACGACACTTACAATTACAACAACATGGTGTATCTGAGAAAGAAAAACACCTTACTAAACATGAAATGTTTTTGTTTGCAGTTGGATCAATCAGTTATTACAGCCATTGCAAAATGGAGACCAGAATCAAAGGAACAAAAGTCTGGTGAAGCGATGGTGTCAAACCTCAGCATTCAGGGTATGATAATGTTTATAACTGTTGCCAGTTTCTTCTGTGATGATGTGGTTACTTACTATTTAAAGCTTCAATATGTAAGAATGAAGTTAAATACATTGTGTGGTCAAATCTGGTTACTGCAGCCATTTTTGTAAGGAAAAAGTTACTATCTCACTCCCCGTTCCATGAGTTTCATGGCTGTTGCCAGTTACGGATCAGGGCCTCATTTATCAAGCTTGCTTACTCACAAAACAGGGTCGGAAAACTGCTGTAGCGGTAAATATCGATTTATATCTATATTTCAAATGTAGTGTAGATTAGGCTTGATTAGTTGTTTATAAATCTTATATTAATTAATCGGGGCACCACCAGTTTTGTGGAACTGGACCATTGGATTTAATATCTACCTCTGCTCATATTAATCACTCCCAAATTTACACTACAAGTTAATCTGAAAGCTGAATTCTTGTCAGAATGTGTCGCCTATTCTCAAGATCGCTAGAGAATGATCAGGCATAATTTTAAGTTTTGTGGAGTTATTACAAACATCAGTTGAGACGTGACAAAAAGGACCAACCACAGCTCATCTTTTCATGCATGGAATGAAGACAATTGTTAAACCAAAGCTTTATAGGCAGTGATATGAAATACTAATCTGTAATAAAGAGGAAATTTGGTGACACCAAGATTATAGGAAAATGGGAATAATTTCTAAAGGAGCAAAGTGAGAGAGAGAGAGAGAGAGAGAGAGAGAGAGAGAGAGAGAGAGAGAGAGGAGAGAGAGAGAGAGAGAGAGAGAGAGAGAGAGAGAGAGAGAGAGAGAGAGAGAGAGAGAGAGAGAGGAGAGAGAGAGAGAGAGAAGAGGAGAGAGAGAGAGAGAGAGAGAGAGAGAGAGAGAGAGAGAGATGAGAGAGAGAGAGAGAGAAGAGAGAGAGAGAGAGAGAGAGAGAGAGAGAGAGAGAGAGAGAGAGAGAGAGAGAGAGAGAGAGAGAGGAGAGAGAGAGAGAGAGAGAGAGAGAGAGAGAGAGTGTAGGAATGCAAGAGGGGGTGTGTGTGCAGGTGGTTGAGTGGATGCAACAAGAGTTGGCGAGTGTGTGTGTGGTAGCAGAGAAAAGAGGATAAATCTTCAGAGCTAAGCGTGAATTTGGATCAAAATAAAACATGCCATGAAAGAAAATGTAATAATCTGAATTCACGAATCGGCTTATGGCAGAAAAGATCAGCCAGTTGGAAATGTTTCCACAGACCTGCTTTCCGTCGCCGGAAGGGTAGCCAGTGGCTGCAACAGCCTGGGGCACTGGATCGTGCCGAGGCCTTTTTGGAATAAATGGTGCTGGCTCCCTGGTCGGTCGACATCGGTCATGGAAGGGAGTATGTGGCCCTCCTCGATTGTGGGCTTGACCTTTTGGTTCCTCCAGCTGCACAAAACGTGGAATTCAGACCGCGAGTCCGAATTGTCCAAACGAGATCGAATCGGAGAAACTGTTCCAAATTGGGTTTAATTCTTACTGCGAGGACTCGGCCGGACCGCACTGACTTCTGGTTTCACGTAGAAAGTCAAAACAAAACAAAACGGAGCTCTGAGTTTATTGTAACTTTTGAGAGCTAATGGCTTAACAACTTTTATGAGTGTCTATTATCTTTTGCTAGGCCCAGATGGAAAAGCCCAGCAGAGGTTCACTTAAAGTGTCTTTCTTCTTTGTTCTGCTACAAAGAAGTCTCAACTCTGGTTTTAAATAGACTTTCTTTTTGTCATGCCCACATGTATTTCACTCCTTAACCACTTGATGGCACTGTGGCTCTTTCACATAACCTCTGCCTTTCCAACAATGATCACAATTTACCAAAGTTGTTCCAGATGGGGGTCAAAGTATTGCTTTAAACAGAGAAGAACTAAATTTATGTCTTAAAACTAGACAGTTTTACCATTAGCATGAATTTAACTAGGGGAAACAAAAATTGGCAAACATAAAAAGGAAACACAAAACAAGCAGTTAAGTTTGTAACTGATAAAGTTTTAACATTTACTTAGAGCATTAGAGCACCTTGATTTCTAATGGTGAAGCAAAACTAAAACACCCTTTTTACTGTGGATAAGCATAACAATACCAGGGTCTTGATAACGACTATGTTCTGGAATCTTCCAGAATATGCCCTGAGAAGGTTTTACGAGCATTCAAACTTTGGGGAAGGGTCAAGTTTTGACAGGTTGAGATAGAACCGACCCCATCCAGATATTGGCCTGCGTCTCTATTGGTGCAAATGAGAAAGACACGTCACTTTGTAAAATTTATGTCCCTGGGAAAATGTAGGAGATAGCCAGCTCCAAACTCCCTCCTGTTGCTGAGTGTGAGAGAAAGGAACTTTGTGTGAACCCGACACAAGTTAATCTGGGAATAAGGTGGATTTCCGCTACACTGCGTAAGCAACTTTCCACTCAAACTTTAGGATTTATGAAAGAAAACTTAGCAGAAAAATGTGTGCAACTTTAAGTTGACTAAGGACCTGGCTTACACACATGTTGGACATGGCGAGCACCTACAGTGCTGCTGCTGAGAAGGGTAAAACTATGAAATCCTGCAGCATTATCACTTGTACTGCTTCGTTTTCACACAGAACAAGACCCCCCACAGGCACACACACGTGCGCGCACACACACACATGCGTACACACACACACACAGCCTGAAGAGCAGAATACGGAATGCAGAATATCAGCAGCGTGACAGATTGAGACAGAATGTCATGCGTCTGTGACAGTGTGTGTCCTGTCACTGTGACCCGATTGATCATGCACCCTGGCCACTCAGATGAGGGAGATCTCCGTTTGGGTGACTGGTTAGCGCACGTGACATTCACCCGGGAGCCTGGGGATTGAATCCTGATTGGACCATTTTTTTTTATATCTGCTACTCATCTCTCTGAAGAATTCACAACATTGACGGCTTCAGCAACGCTGTGCCACTCTGGGGATTTTCTCTTATTTGTTTTGCAAAAGCACTTCCTTTCATTTCTCCACCTCACCCACAAGTGTCTCAATTTCTGCTTCTGTGAAATTGTACTTCCTTGATCTGCCTTGATCTACGGTCGCCATCGTCATTGGCGGAGCGCTGCAACAACTGGCTTATGTACATGCATGAGATCCACAAGGCACTTTGCATTGACTATTTTTGGCAGTAAATGAGCGTGGTGAGAGCAGGATGTGACCAAAAAGCAGCTGAGAACATTTCTAGATAGTTTCTGATTGATGAAGAGGAGATTGCGTGCAGCTGTGCGTACTCTATGTTTGATAGATCACAAACCTTCTTGGCGTAAGTAAATTTTTTTTGCTGAGCTTAAGTACGGTTTTAGTTAGGATTCTACGCAATGTTTGATAAATGAGACCCCAGCTCCAGAACATTCTAGATGATGAGCAAAAACAAGTCATGCACAGTAAGATGGTAAGTAGAGAAATACATTGTCATATATGGTGGTGGCAGTTTTGGGTGCTTTAGCGTAGGGAGCACTTACTAAACTTATAATGGTAATATGTCTCCAGCATTAGTGCAAATGTGGTTGTTTGCTGTTAGCTTGCTGTTATGGTTCTGAACTCAATAAAGAAAGTAAAACGTCACGACTGACTCATCATTTATTTCTCACACATGTTTTACTGTAACATCGAGTTTTTGGGAACATGAAAACATAGCTTGAGATATGTTTATAGCTGACCATTGCATTCTAATTCACTGTTAGCATTTTAGCTCAATGTTATCCTCTAACCACAAGAATAAACATTTGGGCTGCTCTCATTAGACAGCTCTGGAGGTTTTTTCCTGCTAGTGTTGAATAACTAATGCCTGCACTGCAGCGTTAGCTCGGCACATACTTGGCAACCTCACAATCTCACTGATTGCAAATAGTTAGTATGCCCCTCTTTTGTTTTTTGTTTGTTTTTTAAAAAGAGAAAAACAACTTCACAGCTGTTCTGAAAATGTAATCTGCTTAAATGTAACAATCCTTGCAAAATTCAACTGCTTTGTGATTGTTTCACTGTAGAATTCTTACATATTGCTCCTTTAAGTGTTGATGTTGAACAACAGGTTTTTTTACCAACCGTGAGAAATCAAAGTATTGATAAAACAACCAACCAAGTAATAAAGTGCAAAATAGAGTAGCCAGAAGCAAAACCCATACATTCCTATTCCCTTTTCACGTATTCATTTTTAACTTAAACCATATTTATGTATCAAATTATAATTATTTTAAGTGTTATTAAAAGTATCTGTCTGCCTATCTATTTGTATACTTGCATTATTGTCCATATGCAAACATATGGGCAAGTATTTTAAATGATCTTGTTAATTTACAAATGTGCAGTACTAATCCCTTTACTCATGATCAATAAGTGTAGTATGAAGTGTGTATTATTGTGAAATATCTATGTTGAGGTTTTGAAGGGCAGTCTTTCATCGCCCTTTTGCATTTGTTTGAACTTTTGTTGCAGGAAAATGGAACATCTTTGGTGCCACAGAACCTGTCACAACAAGCACAAAAATGTGAGACGCTTAGTCAGCTTATCAGCGTTTACACTGTACTCCTTTATCACATGTCTTTTCTCCATGTTTGCTGTACTCTACTCACAGGTAGACATCTGTTTGTGGACTGCTCTCTGTCGGACTTGGCTGTAGGTCTGATCCTCCTGACCTGCTCCCTGTTGGTTCTGTGCAGCTGCCTCATTCTGCTGGTTAAACTGCTGAACTCCCTGCTAAAGGGACAGGTAGCAAGTTCCATCAACAAAATCCTTAACACAGGTAACTTGTCAGTAACTTTAGATTCAAAATCTTACAATAAACACATCACATAATGTCCACAAAACGTAGTACACAGAGATTGGCCACCATTGGCTAATGGGGGCGTTTCCACCAGATGTAACACATCATACTTTGGATTCGTCCAAAAACTGTGGGTACGCATTGCTTACGTTTTGAGTTTATTTTTTATGCGCTATGCCTCCAGAACGCGTCAAGCTCAGTAGTTCAGATCGGGCAAGAAAAGAAGGCAAACAAGAAAGCAGTAAAAACGTAAAGTTTCAAAATAAAAGTCATGGGCAGATTTCCAGTTGCTTAACTAGAAAAAAAAATTATTACAGGAGAAACCTCAGCCGCTGAGGTAAACCGAACAGAAAATAAACCACAGACCTTTTGTGGACACATGATGCCATCTTTCTCTTTGCTTGTTATTGCGTGAACGGCCAAAATCACTTGTGAACTTGCAATAGATTTTGCGACTTTGCGCATCCACACAGCAGCTGTGTGGACTGTCATAACTGTAATCGCATCTGAATTGCTCCTGGTGGGATGGGAGCTCATGGGTAAAACGCATCTATTATGCTATGTGCTGCTTACGCATCCAGGAGAAAGCCAATGTTACTTTTCTGAAGTTCTAAAAGTCCAAAAGACAATTTTTTTTCTCCTAAATTGTCTTTCTTCTTTCTTTAGACTTTTCCTACCCTTTTACTTGGCTGGCAGGCTATCTGGCTGTGCTCGTAGGAGCTGGCATGACCTTTTTGGTTCAGAGTAGTTCTGTCTTCACATCTGCAATCACTCCGCTTATAGGTAATACACACACACACACACACACACACACACACACACACACACACACACACACACACACACACACACACACACACACACACACACACACACTGTAAGTTCACATACCACAACTTTTAGCAGGTTACTTTTATTCATCACCAGTGTTGGGAATGTTACTTTTAAAAAGTAATTAGTTAAAGTTACTTATTACTTTGTCAAAAAGTAACTCAGTTACTTACTGAGTTAGAAGATTATAAAAGTATCTAATTACCTAAAATAACTATTTTGTTACTATTTTGTATTGAAGAATGCAAGAAAACTGGGTTCCCCTCTTAATTAAACTTACCTAATTTACTATAAATTACTACAGTACTGAAATATAAAAGACTAATCACCAATGTGTAAGTGAAGAATCAAAAACAGACTTTTTTTTTGCTGAACTTTAGATTTTATGAAATGCAGAAATGACGCCACATTTTGGGTCTATAGGAATCGGTGTAATTAGCATCGAACGGGCTTATCCTTTGACTCTGGGGTCCAACCTTGGAACCACCACTACTGCTCTGTTAGCAGCCCTGGCTAGTCCTGGAGAAAAGCTAGCTGCTGCCACACAGGTAAACATTCACAAAAATATTTGCTACTGTGACATTTATCCATATAGGGACATTGAAAATGAATTAAATCTGAATAAAGCACTCCTCTTTCACTGCCCTGTCTTTTCTCTAACATCTTCCTGCTGATTTCAGGTTGCTCTATGTCACTTCTTCTTTAACCTTTTTGGCATCCTGCTCTGGTATCCCATACCGGCCACCCGTTTACCCATACGCATGTCCCGAGCTCTTGGCAGATGCACTGCCAGGTGACACTTTTACATCTAAAGAGGAATAAAAATGCACAGAATAAATTAAAATGCATGGCAAACAAATCTAACACCCATTTACCCAGGTACCGCTGGTTTGCTGTGCTGTACCTTGTAGTCTGTTTCCTGCTGTTCCCATCTCTGGTGTTTGCTCTGTCCATGGCTGGCTGGAGGGTGATGGCTGGGGTTGGAGTGCCAGTCATTATACTGATCATATCTGTGACAATAATAAACATCCTGCAAGTACGAAGGCCCAGATGCTTGCCATTTAAACTACAGAGCTGGGACATTCTTCCTGTGTGGATGAGATCATTGCAGCCCATGGATGACCTCATCACCAGGATGACCCTCTGGTGTGGACAAACCAAAGGTAAATGTTGGTGCTAATTTCAGATGCAACCTTGTCTTTCCACGCAATTTGTTTTGGTTTAGTTATTCTGTCCTTGTTGATTTGTTCTTAGGGTGGATTTGTAGAAGAAACGACCAACCAGCAAAACAACTGGATGGAATCATTCCAAACGTTGATAGAGTAGAAGGAAAACGGAAAGAAAATGTGGAAAACCAGCTGACTGATGAAAGCTGGACCAAGCCAAGCGATTCCGCAAGCTGTCATTTACAAACAGTTGAGGACATTAACATCTTAACAAGCAGTATGTCTCTGGGATGCAACATGCATCAACACACAGACTTTAACACTCGTCTGTAGTGCTTTTCTTCATTTAAACCACATTGCATCAAGGTTTGCATGAACGTAGATAACGGAGAAGTCCTATAGCGCAGGGAATACTTGGATTTCATTATGAGGGATGACAAAATGTAAGGGGGGTGGGGCACGACATGTCCAACCCCCACTTTTTCCAAAGTCAATTTTTGCCCCCTGCACTTTTTACCGCCCCAAATCAACATTACGCTATATTAAATAGACACAGGGGCGGATTGTCACTGCAGGGGCCCCTGGGCACAATGTGATTAACCTAACCCTAACCCAATCTTCACTAGAAGGCAAAACGTTTAAATGGCAGGTTACAGGTATTTCTATTTGACTGTTTATTTTGACGGATAAACTCAAGGATGTTGGTTGTTTTGAAAGAATTACCCCGACGCACACTGATGCGCACACAGATGAGCTGACATTTTAATCATTACGCACAATAGCGGAGGTAACTAAATTAAGAAAAGATTCCCATCAGAACATCAGAGCTTTATACTGGACACTGCTCAGCGCAGCTCGCAGCGCACACAGTGGACAGTGGGCTGAATATCTGTTGAGGGGTTCGCAGCGCAGAACCACAGCGATGCGGTAAGATTTCCTTCCGCTGAAGCGGTCTGGAAACCCGGTCTCTGAGGGATGTGTCACTTGGAAAAATGTTCTCTGATTATGAAACTTTGGCTGAATAGTGCTTGTTCCCGTCTCAAAAATGGAGACGCATGCAGTCTGTCTGAGGCAGAATGGCCTCTTCAGCTCAGAAGCACCTGTAGAGACATTTGATCACGCACAAAGTTTATGTGGAGCAGAAGCGGTCGGCCCACGGCAGGTGAAATGTTCCTAGCCTACATGAAGTGAAATTGTTTAATTGCAACACTAATATGTTACTGGACATGCTGGTCTGGTTGGTTAGACCAGTGTTTGAAGTGAAACACACACACACACACACACACACACACACACATACACACACACACACACACACACACACACACTTCTGAGGACACGTCCAAAACGTGACGCTTTGCAGCCGATGGAAACCCACCCATGCTGATTGTTGCGTACTACGCTTTACGGATGTTATTCGGTGCTTACATGTCCAGTGGGAAGTAGGGTAAAATATATGGTGTCCCAGAAGTATTCTACTAGATTTAGGTCAAGCCAGGCAATGGTGTCAATTCTAGCGTGATGTTTGTTTGTTTCAGCTTCTCTAATCTATTCACGTTTGTCACGTGAGCTCAGAGATACAGAATACCCTTGCTGAACCTTCTAATTCTGATGTTCTCTCAGAAATACCTGTTGAGCTCCATGATGCCAGGAAGCACACTTTATTTACATTGTTAGCACCTGATTTTACACACACCCCCTAATGCTACATGAATAAAAGATGTAGAAGAGAAACTTTTAATAGCTTTTTTTTTTGGCTTGGTGTTGAGTTTATAAAATATCTGATCAAATAAAATAGTAAAGCCTAACAAAAATAAACAAATAAATAAATACATATAAAATGTAACAGACTTGTCCGTGTTTCAGTTATATGACAATGTAATGTATAAAGCTTTAAGACGAGGAAACCAAACTGCAGTCATAGTGGATGCTTTATCTGCTACACACACAGACACACACACACAGACACACACACACACACACACACACACACACACACACACACACACACACACACACACACACACACACACAGCTTTTCTTTGCTTATTTTTATATAGATACTGAAATACACGCACGCATTTGATGAGATGCAGTAGCATACAGAAAGACCGAAGGCGTAGCCAAAGACAGACTGTTGTGGGGTTTTTTTGGCCACTTGCACTCGCTGTTTGGTGTGTCTAAACTGTGTTGACCGTGGGAACATTGTGCATGCTGAAGCTTGTATTACGATTAAGAAATTCTATATTACAAATTCATTACAAAATGTAAATGTGTTATCATTTATCACATATATTTTTTATTTTACAATGCAGTATTTTTTTGTGATTGAAAACTTTGTTGCACAATTGTTTACTTCAGCTGGCAAATCCACAAAATCATTTAGAACATTTGACAAAAACTATACAGTATTCTAATAAACTGATCAATAATAAATAACGACACATGTAGTTACACAAAATAAAGTATTCTCACTAAAATAATGCAAAAAGATAACATCAGCAAACGTACTGATATTTTCTAGTTTTAACGATGGCTGCATGTGGTTACAGTCACATGTTTTGTTTTTTGGGGGCAACCTAATATCAGAATTATCAGTAATCAAAAGGTTGCAGGTTCGATTCCGGCTTTGACCAGAGAATGCTGCTGTTGTGTCCTTGGGCAAGACACTTAACCTGACTTGCCTGCTGGTGGTGGTCGGAGGGACCGATAGCGCCAGTGTTAGGCAGGCCTCGCCTCTGTTAGTGCAGTGCAGCTGTAACTGTGAATGGGTGGATGACTGATTGTATTGTGAAGCACTTTGGGGGGTTGTAGAACCCTAAGAAGGCACAATACAAATACAGGTCATAATGGCTCGAAATACACCTCGAGCTCCTGTTGCTCCTAACAAAAACAAAACAAAACATGAATTTTTCCATAAAGAAAATCAACCACATATTTTCTGAACCAAAAGTTAAATGTATTATAATTTGTACTTGCATGTTTGTGGTAGGATTAACAATATTTTTTGAAAAAAATAAAAATAAATAAATAAAACAGGTTGGTTGAACCAACCAAGAGATTCAAGAGATTTATTTTTATGCTTCTCAAGTTAATCTAAATGACTGGGTCATGTCCCTGGAAAAAAAACAAAGCACAATTAAATGTAATATAGTACAGTATAGTATAGTATATGTAGTATAATACTTTCAATTCTGCATTTTAGTTCTTGTGAGCTTTTATATGGAACGTTTCAATGGAAACGTGCACCTTTAAATGAAGAGTGAACTCTTCTCTTGAGCCCATGCAATGGATCCATACAAACTTGTATCTGTAAACATTTGTTAATCGTGAAAAAAATCTACCAAAATGTAAATTGTTAGAGATTGTACTTTATTCAAGTATTACCCAACAGGAGCGTTTTAATGGAAATTTGCTAAAATGGGTTAAAAAAGTTTTACACTGAAACCATTCGTATTGGAGCTAAAATATAAACTTGTGGTTCACATTTGACGTGTAAAATTAATTTCTGCACGTGAGAAGAAAAAAATGAATTTCACTGTGTTCCTTTCTGGCATGCTGTGGTTAAGAACTGAGCATGACTGCGTCCTTTAATCATGCAACAACACGAAACAAAGATTAGCGTTTGGTTCTGCCTGCAGAAAAACACAAGTCTGTAACAAACAGGAAGGACTACATTGCATAACGGTGAGCAGGACAATTTTGAGCTAAAAACATAAAAATATTAAGCATTTAACAGATTATTGCTTTAGTGCATTTCAAAACTAATAAATAATATTCAATTTATTGTTCATTTTACATTTAGACTAAATGTATTCTTGTTGGCGGTACTCTACTCTGTTTTTGCAGTGCAATAATTCCAAAATAATTGTGTAAAAATGAAGAGTTGCAATAATTTTGGTTTATTTTTTAGTTGCCTTGCAGACACAATGAAACCCGTCTACCTGATTGTCTCAGTTCTCACAGCGACGGTTCTGACTAAAGGTATTTTTTTAAGTTTTAAAGGTTTAGGATTTAGCCTTCAAATATATTTAATAATACGTGGTAAGGGTTAAATACACGAACAAATTAATTAATGAAATTCATTTTTTATGTATTGCTAATACATCATTTTGATATTTCACTAGTAAATCACTGTGTGTTGTGTTTATAGGATCTATTGAATGTAATTTTGGCGACTCGACTGGGACTCGTCAGTGTCACGGCGCAGAAGGACAACAGCTGATTTTCCATCTTTCAAATGAAACAAACACCGAGTTAAAGTTGATCAAAGATGCAAAATACAGGATTTTTAAGAAAACTGAAAATGGGACAGTGACACTGGATGAAAAGTACATTAGACAGTTTGACCAAATCCAGAAGGGAAAATTAAATTTAGGACAAGTCACGAACAGACACACTGGACAGTATCTGCTGGAAGAATATGGATTTGGATCGGATGACGGGAAAATAATGAAAAAAGTTGAAATTAATCTGACAATTCATGGTAGATAATTTAAAGCTTCTATTGTATTTCTCCTCTTTTCCCATGGTTTGGTTCAGATTTGGATACAAATGCATGATATATGATGGGATGTCAGTCATTTGCCTGTTTTTTATGTACCGTTTGCAGCTCAGGTACCAAAGCCAACCGTCTCTCAGGTGTGTTTTTCACCTGAACTGATGGCAGTCACCTGCTCCTCCAAGGGAGATGGAACAGAAATCAGCATGACAGTCGACGATAACGTTCTGATACAAAGCAAACACGGTCAGTCCCTCAGCAGCACCGGCCAAAACTCCAGAGCCTCGAGTGTTTCCATCAACATTCACGGACAGCTGACCGGAAATCTTGTTTGCCAAGTTTGGAACAATTACAGCAGAAATAAAACAATTTTTCCTCTGACGGCGTGCAAAGGTACAGTGTGGATGCAAATGTTAAAAAAGAGGAAATTGCTGCTAGAGAGTTTAACATTTCACTGTAGATTTTCTCAGTTGACTCAGTTTTCCTGCTGATTTAAAGCTAATTTATTTTTGTTTTCTAGGTTCTGACATTGTTATACCTGTACTGGCTTGCATTGTCACAACCTTTGTTGTCTTGGCTTTGGGACTGCTTGGAGTCAAACTGTGTAAAAGAACAAAACCCACTCCAGCAAAAAGTGGTAGGAAAACTTTAAAACCAAAAAAAACGTTGGAACACATGTTTCATACAGCTTCAAATGAACTCTAACATCCTTTTTCAGGGGACGATGAGGAAGGAATTGTCTACTCAGATGTGAAACTGAAGCAACCTCCACAGAGACCTCAGTCCAGCACATGAAAACGCTAATTAACCTTCTGACACAGTTTTCTAACATCAATCATTTATTTTTGGCGCTCGGTCATTTTTCTTTTTTAGCATGCATCAAAAATGTCGCTCCTTAAAATATTAGGATTTTTTTTTTTGTTATTTGTAAGATAATGAATAGAATTTAAAAACAGTGTTTAACAATCTTTATTTTAATTTTAAATATACTAAAAACAAAATTTCCTCCATGGCAGCAATCAAAGTTAAACAATTATAATATTTGTTTGAAAGTTTTTATTTACAGTTAATTTTTTTTCCTGTAACAAATGTTATTTTGTAGCAGATAAATATATAGTGTATCAGATTAGTGACATCTAGAGGAAGAACGGTGTTATTGCAGGAACTAAATACATGAAAACTGTACGTTTTTACCACTTTTTGACAACAGAGGGGAAGTAAAATGTCCCACTTATTTTCATCAAATTTAAATTCCATCTTTTTTGTTTAGATGATAATCAGGTTTGTTTGTGCGTTGTGCATTATTAGGTTTATCATTTGTAAAGATGGATCATGTTCTGTATTTTAATTATGAAGAAACGTTCTGTTAAAAATGTGACAGTTTTAGCATTTATCTAAACTTATGAAGGGGATGTTGTTGAATGAAGTTGTTGGTACTGATTCCCAGAATGTCCACAGCCGACAGCTAAACTATAGAAGACTGAATCAGAACATGGGTGTGCAGAGAATATAGATGTCCAGACAGACTGGGTGCTGTGGAACAGGAATTGTGTGTGTTTGTACATGTGTATGATTCTTTGTGAATATGTGTTAAAGGTTGTGTGTGTGAATGGGTCTTAGGTGTGTTTGTAAGTATCACAATGTGGTTGTGGGTGCTTGGTTAGGGTTAGGGTGATGAGGAAGAGGCTGCCCCACAACAGCCCAGGCTAATAGTATCAGAGCAATGTGGCCACAAATTCCTGCCTGCAGCCCCAAGAGGATGGACATGAGCCCTGAGAGACCCCAGCCCAGCATGCCATGATGCTGCTGATGCAGGCCAACCAGGAGCGAGACGACCCTGACCCCAAAGGGTCCACACCAGTGAGGAGTAAGTAAATCTAACGAGTTCTAATTAATGAAAATGTATAAATGACCTGCACTTGTATAGCATTTTCCTGATTCAGAGGACTCCAAAGTGCTTCACACTGCAGTGTATCATTCATCCATTCAATCACACATTCACACGCTGATGGTGATGAGCTACAATGTAGCCACAGCTGCCCTGGGGTTCACTGACAGAGGCGAGGTCTGTCAAATACTGGCACCACTGGTCCATCTGACCACCACCAGCAGGCAGGGATGGTGAAGTGTCTTGGCCAAGTACACAACTGTGACAGACTGAGTGGGGCTCAAACCTGCAACCCTCCAGTTACAGGGTGGGCACTTGCCACAATTAAATGGTAAAATATTGCAGTTTACTGGAATTTTGTGTAGTTATTTAAACATAGCTCACAACTAAATTGGGAGCACTGCTCCCACACATGGTGTAATAATCTGCAACGCGCATCATTACTGGTACCCGCTCAAGAAATCACATCACTCCTGTTCTTAAAAACCTACACTGGTTGCCAATAGAATCCAGGATCATATACAAGATCCTACTACTCACATTTAAATCTATCCATAGCCTGGCCCCACTTTATCTGTGTAATTTACTAACTATTGCAACCACTTCCCGGTCTCTTAGATCCTCATCTGCACCTTATCTGGTTCAACCTCGAGCTCGCCTTACCACCATGGGGAGAAGAGCTTTCAGATGCTCTGCTCCGCGGCTCTGGAACTCACTTCCCTCTGCCATTAGAAATACGGACTCTTTTCCATTATTCAAGGCACACCTCAAAACCCACTTATTCAAACAAGTTTATTCCCTTTAGACCTAGACTTTAGAATGTTTCGCATTTTGATTGTAACGTGATGAAGGAACCATTTCTCAGGGTTATTATCCTCTTACAACTGTTCCCTTTTGACACAGTGCCAGAGTGCATGAAACAGCCTCAAGGTCATGCATTCGCTTCTAAACTGTTTACATCCCAGCAATGAAGACAGAAGAACGAAGAATGAACTCTTCTCTTTTAATTAATCAAAGAACTCTGTTTTAATAAGCTAATCCATCAAAGTGTTAGTCAATAACACTTTAATGTGACCGACCAGTGAATTCAAAATATTGATTACTTTATTATGATCCTGTAGAAATAATAAGTACTGTGACTTTAAGGATTCCAACAGGACTCATTTCACGTAGTGTTAAAAAGACATAACACATTCCTATCACTGATCCAATCAAATTCTTACAGATCTGACGGAGGCGTGCTTCTGATGGTGTTTGGTCATTTTCATTCGACAATAAACCATAACATCCGAGGTATAAAACTATGCCACGTCAGCTCTAATGCCAGTTCAAAGCATTCCAGAGTGAGTGTTGGAGTGGCCAACCTTTAACCTATAACTTTTCAACCGAAAGAACCAACGACAAGCTGAAAAATCCAGTCGCTATAACAACCAGCAGCAACAACAGCTCCTTTCAGAATACAAGCTCCACCGACCCAGGCTTGGGTCTGACCAGACGCCAATAAAAGTATTGTGTGCCGGAAGTAACTCGAGACGGGTCTGATCGGAACTGAGGTTTCATCTACCAGCTCGGCTCCCAGAGAGGGTTCACTGGACCTCGATATTCCTGTTATACAGAGGACTTCCACCAAAGACAAAGGTAGACCGACATGATGGTGTCTCATACTGTTTCTGAAACTAACCAAAGCTTAATTCAAAACAACATCCTCAGTTCCCGTCAGAACTAATTGCTTCTTCGGATTTGCTGGTTCTGATTACATTACACGTCATCCATTCACCGCCTCATCCATTTTAGTTACACTATACATTTAGTTTTAAAGTCAGTCTAGTTTAATTTGTTAGTAATAAAATTCTTAACTTTTAAGCCTGACTCTCTCTATTCTGTGTCTCTGAGTGAATACATAACGGTTACCTAATCTCTGCAATAAAAAGATTCAATCTTCTGGTAACCCTCGATCCGTAAGGTGGATTCTATATTTCCTATGGAATCCCACGCCTTATGGCTCATTAATTAAAAATGCAATAACCTCTCATTTCATTACATGATGTATCTTATTTGTTCTTATTGCTCTATCAACCTCTGTTATTTTTATTGTTTTTATCTTTGTTTAATTGTAAGGTGACCTTGGGTTTGAGAAAGGCGCCCTCAAATAAAATGTATTATTATATTATTATAATAAAATAAATATCACACATTGGACATTCAGAAGCACAATAATGCACTGCCTGACTAAAAAAAAAGTTGCTACCAAAAATACAAAAAGGTCACATTCTAATATTTCGTGGGGTTAAGGTCTAGGCTCTGTGTGAAAATGGCGTCTCATGCTCCCCGAACCACTCTTTCACTATTTGAGCCCGATGAATCCTGGCATTGCCATCTTGGAATATACCTGTGTCATCAGGGAAGATGGCATAACCTGGTCATTCAGTATATTCAGGTAGTTAGCTGACCTCATTCTTGGAGCGCATTCTGTTGCTGAACCCAGACCTGACCAACTGCAGCAACCCCAGCATAGCACTGCCCCCACAGGCTTGTACAGTAAGCACTAGGCATGATGGGTGCATCACTTCATCTGCCTCTCTTCTTACCCTGATGCAGCCATCACTCTGGAACAGGGTCCATCTGGACTCATCAGACCAGTTTTTAATAATGCTTTGAACAGATCTAACTATTTGGGGCAGCAGTAGCTCAACAGGTTGAGTGGGATGTCCAGTAATTGGAAGGTTGCAGGTGCGATCCCGGCCCCGGACAGAGAATTCTGCTGTTGTGTCTTTGGGCAAGTGGTGGCCGGAGGGACCGGTGGTGCCTGTGCTTGGCAGCCTCGCCTCTGTCAGTGCGCCCCAGGGCACCTGTGGCTACATCGTGGTTCTTCCCACCAGTGTGTGAATGTGTGTGTGAATGGATGAATGATGCACTGTAGTGTAAAGAGCTTTGGAGACCTTACTCTGAGAGGCGCTATACAAGTGCGGGTCATTTATCATTTATATTTGGTGGTTTAACCTCCCAATCCAACCCCTTAAAGCTGAGTTTTAAGCAGGGAGGCATTGGGTCCCATTTTTAAAGTCTTTGGTAAGATCTGATTGGGATTTGAACTTGACCTTCTTCTTCCGGCTCTTGGAGAGTACAGATGCTTTTTTCCTCCTTTCCTCCCTATCTTATCCCCAAGGCTCTTTGTCTGTCTTTGGGTGTACGGCGCTTCTGCATTTTTTCTGGAAACTGGAAATTATTAAAAATGGACCTGGTCAGTTGGTCTCTCAACGCAATTGACAACATTTGTTCAATGTTGAGAACGGGAGAAGGGGCTCCTGGATGCCCCTATGGGACAGATCCAGTTGGGCATATCATGGACTCCTGGAAACAGTGGAACTTGATCTGCTTATCTTAACTGTCTGTAGAGGATTCTGAAGACGTCTGGATATTCGTGGTGTTGGTGTCAGGTTTACTGCTTTTTGGCCTGGGAGGTTATCTGGCTTACCGAATTAAAATTAATGAGCTGTCGAGGAATATTGGCTCAATCCCGGAGCTCAGAGACGGATTACACCGCGCTGTGAATGCACAGGCTCATATAATTGTTGAGATGAGTCGTAAGCTTGGAACTTTGGCTGAGATTCAGACTCTGGCACAGAAGGTGGATTTCATCAAGGAACGAGTTGACGAATCAGCACAGATTGGGATGGATTAATTTACGCCATTATTGGATTAAGAGGGGTTGAGGACCAACGGAAGACAGAGAGGAAATTATCTCTGTCTGGCCCCAAAACAATTTCTTATCTGAATCTGGTGCCCTTGAGCCTGTGAAGCTGAACCGATTACTCCCCCTCACAGGAAATGTGGAATGCTGCTGTCGCCATGGCAACTCTGTCTCCCTATCCCAGCCTGGGCGGGACTGGGACCGAAGGCCGTTGAATCGTTCCAGGAGTCACTGTGCTCTCTAAAACCTAATGACCTCCTCCCCCTGTCCAAACGGAGGTGACGAGCGCTGCTTATCGTGGCTGCATGCATTGATGTGTGGAGAGTCCCCAACCCTACCACCCCACCTAGTGGACACTTATGTTGTGTGATGTCTGAAGTCTTCTGCATTTCTGTCTGAGGTGTTTTTTGCATAGCAAAGCTGCCCCCCCTGTGGAGGGTAACTCTGAAGTCCCTTTTTTTACTCATCCTGACTCAATCCTCATGTAAACTCTCTATTAAGGTAGCGCAACTCGGGTTGCGAATGACAACAGTCACCAATTCTTGTCATGTGTCTATGCCTGTGTATGTATGTCTTATCTCAGAATTGTGTGTACTGAAACTCTAATTTCTCTCTGGGATTAATAAAGTATCTTTGAATTTGAATTGAATTCGATTTGAATCTCCCAGTCCCAGGGTAGACACTCTACCACTAGGCCACTGAGAAAAAGTGGGTGGAGCCAATTTTCTGTGATAATCATCACACAACAATTCTGGATATAGCTATTTTCAGAGATGTAGAGATCCAAATCTCACTTCTTTTGGCATCATCGATCTGACATTTGCCACATAAATGCTTGGAAGTAGGGGTTTGTGAGGCAGCTTCCTTAGCTTGACTTTAGCATGCATGGTCAGTGCCTCCACTTCTGCTTTCGCCCTCACTTTCGCTGCTGGCCGATGTCGGCTACAGTCCACAGAGAGCCCAGTTGGTGTGGTAATCTTTTCTGGGATTCTTTGCGTTCACTGAAAGATTCTCGTATTGGCCAGAGTGTCCTGCAATTATTATTGGGCCTCACCATCAGTACACACCATCTGTTGGTTTCCAACATATGGCTGTCTTCAAAACATATAGAAAAGCACTCAAAACCCAAAGGGGGTCAACCAAGCTGCAGTACAAGCATGTGCTGCCATCATTCATGGGAGGGAGGAGAGCAGGGTCTCTAATCAAGAAACTTGGCTTTTACTGTACATATGAAGCATTGTAAGGCTTTACCCTGAGGGCGGGAACATACTTGCTGTTTAACAATGCGTACATGTGTCTAAATGGCTGACATGTGTAACTTGCATTGATTTGAAGCGTCATTTGTGCGCATCCCCCGAAATTAGCGCAGTGCATCCAAATGCAGCAATATACGAGTAACCAGTAGGTGGAGTTGACAAAATGAGCAACACACATTTACCATGGTGACTCCATCTCTGGTTTAGAGGTCTTTCATACTATCTACTGTACCGTTGCTGTCTTTTTTTCTGCCGTGATCACAAAATTAACCAGTTACTGAACTCTTCGTTTGATGCTATGTTTTGGTTATACCCCCAAAACCCAGCTCTGTTTCTGGTCTGAGTTCTCTACTGTGCCCCTAGCATAGCCCTCCAGTACTGCATGAAGTGCCATGTAGCATCAGGTACGTGAACAGAGACAACCTAATTCCTGCACCAATGCAAGGTTTAACAGCAAGAATAATCTGGCCCCAATACAACGAGGTGACAATCGGATCCTTTGCTGTAAAATGTACTAGAAATGCCTGGTGTGTGGCCTAAATTCCCCAACCTTCTACAGAAGACAACAGAAAAAGTCCCTAAAGAACCTAGCTCTACAGAATTAGAGCTCCTACCCCCAACCCCCATTGTTGCTGAACAAGACCTGATCATTAAACAATGTGTAACTCCTTTTATTCATTCATCAACCTTTCTTTCCATCCATCCATCCATCCATCCATCCATCCATCCATCCATCCATCCATCCATCCATCCATCCAGTGTTTCTGTAGTGTGCCCTACCAAGTTAAAAAACAAGAAAAAGCAAGCACTGCTGTGTTGTACTGGAACTTTAGGAACAAGTCTCTGTGCACTTGCAACTTACATCATTCACACACAGGTTTTCTAATCTGGGCATGTAATACCATAGAAATCAATAAAAAGTAATGCTTTAAAAATTAGGTGTATCAAGAATGCATCTAACTTTGAGTACAAGGATGCGGCATGAAGAACAACTTGTACTTGTACTGGAATAAGCCACATGGGGAACCCTTTTTCTTTCTGCTCTTCAACTGTCGCAGGATTTTACAGACTTACAGATTTTGTTTTTTGTCAGCAGGAATCTAAAAGACTAATTCAATGTTGGAATTTTCACACCAAAAAAGGGGCACTTGAAAGCAAGGAGTTTCTGAAATCACGTGTTCCTATTTTAAATAATTTTAGGCCACTGAATGTCTGCACATAGTAATACTAATCTATATGTTCCTATGCTCTGATCTGAGCGCTGGCAATAAAATTCATTCTGATTCTGATTCTGATTCTATTTATGAAAGCCTTTGTTCTTGTTCTCGGCTGCAAAAGCATGCTGGTCTTTCGCTTAAGCAGGAAATAGAAAACTGGATAATGGAAATGTGGTTTGACTAGCCTCTATCAGACAACATGTTTACATGTCTAAGGTGAAGAGATGCCTCCGATAAGCTTCACACATGGTGTGTTTGCACTATAATGTATTGGTAGTGAGTTTAAATGTTTCATTTCATCATATGCTAATATTTAACACTCGCTGTGTCTCAATCCAGGGTCTGCATCCTTCGAAGGACCCAGCCTACTTGGCCGACGTGGGCTGGGCACTCCGTCGGCCGAGTAGACCGGATGTTAACGGCTGTGAATTTGGACAGGCCTAGCCTTCATTAATTCCCGCCACTCCCTCGGCGAACATTCGCCTAGCAACCGTGGAACCGCTGAGCTGAAGGGAGAAGGAATTTTAAACGATAGAGCTCGAAGTTTTATTTATGTAGCGTCACAAATGGCCTCTAATTTGTGACAAAGGTCACATTTTCCCAGCTGGGTCAAGCTGGGTCAGACTGTAACGTTTGGTTCCACAGATTAATCCAGGAGCCATGATGGCCGCTGAATATCATCTTTATCTGCTGCTGTTCCGTCCCAGAATGAAGGACACTTCAAGATCACAATAATAATTTTAAATAATAATTTTAATAAACTCTTTGACTTTATTACTGTTATTATTATCATCATAAATAATCACTTGGTTCAGTAAATGTATTTTAATTACTGAAATGAATTATTATGCGTTGGGTATAATAATGATTTTTGTGACAATCGGTTATGTGTGTTCAGTAAACCAGAAAGTCATCTTCCACTTCATCCATCCAATGCAGAGGGCTTATCCAGGGTAAAGGTTAAACTGCTCTCACATGTTTTTCCCCATAATCAAAGCTTTCTTGCTCTGAGAAGGCGTGTTCTGTGGGTTTGTCTAAACTAAATCTTCCGTAGCTGTAACTTCAGTTCATGAACCAACCACCATTCTGAAAATAAGGGACGGCCACCCTGAACCTCCACCTGCTGTTCTGTCACGCCGATAGAATAGCTTCAAATAAACACACCTGTAACCAGCTGATGCAAAACTCCTTCAGAGTTATTGATTTTGAGTTAAGTAAGACGCAAAACTCCTTCAGAGTTAAGCCAGACACTGTGTACCTGTTCTAAAATAAAATGTTTTATTTTATTTTAATTACCTTAAAAGACTCAAAGTCTCTTTTTACACTTTATATTTATTTAATCAGGATCGTTGTCAAGTCGACGCCAGAAACAATGAAACACAACTTGAATATCAGATGAACAACAAGGCTTTATTCAACCGGTATTCATACAAGTTATCAATCATGAACGAAACATTTCTCTTACCGTTGCTTATGGGTGGAGAGCTGAACACCCCAGTTAGAAAACGTAATCCATGATAGGTGAAGAACTGAACACATGTAATCCATGAACCTCGTCAGGTAGAATACGCCAAGCAGCTCTAACCCCCCTGAGCCCTGCTCTGCTCCTTATACATTCCCTGATGTGCGTGCAAAGCTGCACACCTCCACCATGATTACCTTGATTACATCCTCATGATCACATTATGTTCGGCTCTACCATGATTACCCTTGATTACATCCTCATGATAAGTGTGATTGACAAACAGTAGTGATCAATAACTTATATAAAGCAATTATACAACAGATGACAAGTTCATTTTTATTGCAGTACCCTGCGACATCTTCGGACCAGGGTCAACACGTCGGACATGTTCAGAAGAATAGAACCGGAGATAAAACAAATTCTGGTTCGGAGCAAGAGTTTATAAAGACGTTAGCTAGATCCAGCTTTTATTTTGGTAACCACCTTCCACTTATTGGCAAGCAAATTTGCATATTAGCTAAATATTTAATTACCAGCTAAATATTTATTTTCCATGATGTTATTTAACTCCACACTATATTTTATATTTTTGGGTCAGACTTAAATGTTTATTTCCCAAATACTGATTTTGCAAACTAAATGTTTAGCCTCAAAATAAATATTTAGCTGGGATCTAAATATTTATATCGGAAAATAAATATTTAATTTACAAATTACATATTTAGTTCCAAAATAAATATTCAATTAGTAAATTAAATATTTAGTTAGTGAATTAAATATTTCTTTTACAAACTAAATATTTAGATCAGACCTAAATATTTAGTTTAAAAAAGAAATATTTAACTACAAATTAAACATTTAGCTTGCTAACTAAATATTTATTTGGAAACTTTAACATTTATAAATGTATGAATAACATGATGAAAATATGACTTTGAAAAAGTGAACTCCCAATTTTTTCTTATGATATGCTAAATAACCAAAAATATTGCTATTAGATTATGACTGTTTGACTTTACAAATGGCACCCCTACCTGTGCTTCCACTTTTCCCTCTTGATAGCTGAACACTGGAAGCCATAGTGGTAAAACATTCAGTTAACCTCTAGTGCAGGTTTGTAACCACATTTGTTTTCTATTTCTGCTCTACAATAAGTTATAAAATGAAAATAAAGTTGAATTGTGTTTTCAAAAGATGTTTTGATTAAATGTGTTTTTGTGTCTGATTACAAACTATTTTGTAACACGTATGTTCTTTCAGTAATTTTGCTAAATTAAAGTAGAACATTTTGGGCCATTTCAAATATCTAATAAGACCCCAGTAGTCAATATGTCTACATGTATTGAAATACATAAAATAATTAAAGTAATTTAAAATGCAAGGAAAGGAAAACAAATATATGTATACATAAGTCAAAAATAAAATAAAATCAATTTAAAAATCTCCCACACACAAAAGAACTGTAATTCTAACTTTACAGTAACTCACTGCCATGAAAATGAAAAAAGGATAAAAAAAATCTTGTCTCAGATGTTTTTTGGAGAAATGCTTCCTTGTTCTCATCACAGAGAAGATCTGATAATCTGCTCTGTCTTCAGTGAAACACATCTGCCTCATGATTAGTCTCAGTCTCAGGCTGCTGTTGCTGGTGAGTATGAAAACCTTATTTTAACACTGATTTATTTTCTATGAAAATACACAATCAGTTCACTACCACCAAACTAGTAATTTTTGAATATTTCATAACTATTCTATTTGACTATACGGTATGAATCTTTACTTGGTTCTATGGAAGAAATTGACACCATATCTAAAATAAATGTATAAGGCAACCTATAGGTAATAACACTATGATCACATTATAAACATGCCCTCTTATGC